GCAGATCTTGCAGGCCACCGTGCAGCCGTTCTTCTTCGCCAGGGCGCGAGGCCTTAACCCCAAGGAAACGGAGGCCTAACCACAGAAGTCCAGGGAGGTTCGAAGTTGCTGTACCCTTTCTGTAGCCTCTTTTAGAGGCACCCCAACCAAAAAAGGGGTGAGGGAAGCCGATTTTGCCAGGGGAACCCTCCCAACCAAAAAAGGGGTGAGGGAAGCCTTCCCCTTACTTTCCACCTTAAGGGGAGAAAAAAGAACGAGCGATGGAAGTGACAAGATTCCAGGAGACCCCGGTCTCTTGAACATCTGATTCAGACTTTTGATGTCTCACCCAGCATGGAACTTGACTGCTTGGTCAAAAATTTCGAGCAGTCTCCTTGTCAAGGGACCGGGTCCCTGTCAGGTTCCATGTTACTGGTGCTAGCCTTTCAGGCACTTGACATCTGGTGGCACACAGTGCTTCCAACATCTGGACCATCGGACCAGGTCAAGCCATGACTCGGTCAAGCCATTTGTGTTCTCTCTCTCCCTCTCTCTCTCTCCCTCTCAAGGCATTTAACGTTTAGTGTGCAAATGCTGGGTGCGCGGTCAAGGCATGTCAGATTGTGCCAAGGCTTCAAGGGGTTCTCTGGGCACAACTCATGGCAGGCAAGGTCTGTGTCTTGCGTCAGGCCGCTTCTCCTCGTCTGACAGCATGTTCTCGTTAGGATCGGTGGCCGTCCATCCTCCAAGCATTGCATGTGTGCTCTAGCGATACACTGTTACACCTTCTGCCTAGTTGCCCGCAAGCGTTGCTCCCAGCCCAATCATCGAGCAGTGCATCCCCGAATGTTGCTGCAAACGCAGCACAGGTATAGCTGCATTAATCATGTTTAAGCTTAAGTATCTTGGCTGGAATTAGGACCCCAGCAAAAAAAAAAGCCTGGTTAGTGGAAAACAAAGGGAACCCCAAAAAAGAAAAACAAGAAAAAGGGGAACTAATTCTGGGGAAGTTATAACTTCCAACGACCAAAAGGAATGAACGATGCACAGCCTTGCACTGAAAACACCGGCCTTCTTTGCAGTCCGCATCCGCTCCCACGATCCGGAACTCCTGCGGCGAGCGTGGACAAGGCCATGCAAACTGAGGGCCAAGTGTGGTGTAGAGTGTATGCGAACGCAAAGCTGCTACGTGCAAAGGCGACGCATCACGTGCGGCGTGCAACATGGCCAGCCTTCTTGTGTTTCAAAGCCGACTGCATCTCGCTCTCTTCCTGCAAGGGAAGCATGAGTCAACGCCCCTCTCCGCTGAGGTGCGGAAGCCACTGAATTTCCCAGTGGCCAAAAAAAAGTAGGAACACTTCTGGGTTGGTATGCCCGCATCGCGCAACAACAAAGAAGAAGATCGAAGGATTGCATTGAGCCAATCATTTTCCTGGCCTGCCTGCTGCAAAGGAAGAGTGTGTCCACGGTTTATATGTTTGTGCCAGGCACCAGCCGGGGTCAACTTGCTCAGCTGATTGCCACATGGCTAGGGGCCATCAGCAATGCTGATCCTTTGGAAACAAGAAAGCGAAGAGAAAGAGAGGGAGAAACACATATCACACATACAAATAGTATGTGTGAGTATATGTGTGTATCTATGTGAACAGGTCTGAAGCTCGACTTGCACGAATCGACGGACAAACGTGCGTGTGCATGCGTGTATGCACGTATGCACCTATGTACACGCATGTAGGCATGTAGGTATGTGGGCCTGTATGTGTACATGCATGGCTGCATGCATGCATGTGATGTGTCCACTGCATGTCATGCATGTTATGTATGGTGGTATGTCCGTTGTGTGTCCGTATCATGTGTTATGAATGTGTGTGTGGATGTGTGTTAGCCATGTCATGTGTGTTGTGTGTGCTGTGCATCTGTTGTGTGTTGTATATGTTATGATATCATGTGATATGATACGCAATGTAATGTGAACATACAGTAACTTGAATGCACATGACATATAGTGTCATGTAATGCAACGTAATGTAATACATGCATGACAATGCATGGATGTATGCATGCGTCCATGTACCCATGTATGAATGTAAGTGCATACCTGTGTACACATGTGCTGGAGTCACTGCTCCAGCTCAAGCCCTGAGCTTCCGTACATGGTACCACAGGATTAAGATGATACACATTAACACATGGGCGATTCCTCATATTTCTTGCGGATAGGTCCTGAAAAGGCTGGCTATGAGAATGCCTACTCCGCCCAGTTTGCCTCCCGAAGAGGGATGTGCCATATCCTGCACGCTTTTGGATGTGCTAATCTTCCGGATGGCCCAACAAAAGTGTTGTGTACCACTAGAATGGTTGTGGGTCAAAACCCAGGAAACCCCTGGTGAACATCAAAATGGCTGGCAAATGGATGTTCCACCCCAAAATGGAGCCATAGGTTCTGCCCCATGGCCAAGTGACTGAACGTCCAACCCATCAAAAGCGAGGATTATGTACATGGAATCCTGGTTAAATGGAAACATGGACCAAAACCTGCAGTCCCCTGGCTCAGTTGCCAGGACCTGGAACTCAAAGGTGATCACCTTTTGGGGCCATGACTAAACATGGACCAAACTGGGAAAACCAAAAGCTCAGATCCGGTCAATTCGCTTTGAACAACTGAGCCACTGGTGGTTTTTAATTTTGACCCATACCCATTTGACGCTTCTGGCGAAGAGGGCCTCCGTCTCCTTGCCGGCATCGCCGAAGTTCTTCTCCGCGGTCATGCAGGCATCTGCCAGGCATGCCCTGAGCATCGAGCCGCCCTGGAAACGCGTGTGGCTCAAAAGCAAGGAGCTAGGGTTTGGTCTTTGGTTCCATTTACCAAAGGGCAATTTTGGTACATTTTTTGGAGCCAGCTCCATGTGAAAGACTTAGGCAAGATTTACCCAACTCGGGCATTCCCACTGACATCCCCTTAAGTACATAATAAGCCATGTTCATGACATCTTGCTGACATGGCATAAGTGGCAGTTGTTGGAACAACCCTGTGGACGTTGGAGACTAAATACTTGCTAGCTGGATCGAGATGTGGCTGGGCAGCCTCTAAAGGCCTAGCTCGCTAAGGTCCGAGTGAGCTAAGGCCGGCGCTGGTAGGTGGCTTCCTGGCATGAGTCTTGTCATGATACGGTCTCTTGGTCAACATTCCACCCGAAATCCAGGAGTTCAGTACCTTGGTTGCGGTTGACCCCCCCGCAAAAAGTTCAACCTTTTGGGGGTTTAGTGGAAAGCCCCTTGATTTCCCAAGAAGTTAGAGTCTAAAAATCCAACCCAAGAGCAGTCAAGGTACTTTCTGGCATCAGTGTTGGCAAAGGAGGGCAGTACCAAATGTTACAACCAGTTGTGTTGCACTTGCATCTATCTGAAGTTCTCGCTTAGAGACTTCCGCACCTGTCGGAAGCCAACATGCAGTTGCAATCAGTTGCACCTCAGATAAGAGTGTATACATATATATATATATGCCCCAATACAACCCAAGGGCGAGGTGCAGCTTGGCACACAAGCGACCCAAACGAGCGTTGCTGATTTAACTTGCCTGAGAATGATGAATCCTAACACCCTGACCCAGGTGATCTCAAGCGTTTTTCAAGAACACGTCGACTTCTGATGTCGGTGATGTCGGTGATGTCGCTGTATGCTCCCGAGACCACCCACTACTCACTGGCCAACAAACCGCATTTTTAAGCCGAACGTGCGAGAGAGTGCCTGCTGGTCCTTGGCTTCTTCGTCCTCTTCCAGCTCTTCCTTCTCTTCCTCACAAGCTGGCAGAACCAAACAGAACGGCGGCCTCAACTGTTCAGCATGGCTCCATTGCCACGTACATCCACGTGGAAGTTTGAGGCCATGTGCCTCGCCTCCGTCTCTTCCTGCTTCAAAACGGCGCAGGACTTCTGCGCTTCCTGCGGAAAGCATGGCTTCCATTTGCTTTTTCGCCCCCTGGAGAAAATGAGAAAATGTGTCCAGTAGTCATAGGTTCCCTTTAAAAGCAAATATTTCCACTAGTCATAGGTTCCCTTTAAAAGCAAATATTTCCACTAGTCATAGGTTCCCTTTAACAGCAAATATTTCCAGTAGTCATAGGTTCCCTTTAACAGCAAATATTTCCAGTAGTCATAGGTTCCAAAACCAACAGGGGATAATAAGAAATGTTCAGCAAATGGAAGCATGGGAATGGCAGGAACTTTCCGGCGGCACTGTCATCATACCCATGGGTGTGTCTCTAGTTGGGAACTCCCCTCCCAACCCCAAAACCCCCCCGCCACAATACAATCAGGAAATATGTGCTTTCCGCGGTTTCCATTTGAACTACCCTAGAACGGATTCCCTTTTCGGACAACACTGAATCAGGAGCATTAGGCTTTGCAAAGCGGGCACTCCTGGAAGACCTTTGCCCTAACCCTCTGACAGCTTCCATGTTTGCCCCTGGGATGGTGACAGTCTGAAGAAAAACGCCTTGCAGCAAGCACGATCAAACGCGCGGCCGTGTTGCAGACCGTAAGCCACGTCCTCCAACGCTTTTCCTTCGCAAAGCCTGCCAGTATACTGAGGCGCTGGAGGAAAGAACCGTGCCCTGCTTTGCTTGCGCTCTCTCAGGTGTCTGTCTGGGGTTGGTATGATCTAACAAAGTCTCCGCCAAAAGGCGCCGGGGCAGACCTAAGAAGCCAGCCAACTGCGGCTGGCTGGTCATGAGCCAAGACACTTTGGCTCAGCCACCATGGAGTAGTTGGCCTCTGCAACCTCGTCCGCGGCAAACCTAAGTGGCGTTAACGAGTACCAAAGGCTGACACAGCTGAATCACGCATGGCTCTTTTCCAAGCAAAATAGACGTGGTGAATCGGAAAGCGTGCGAACACAAAAAGATAATACATGTTCAAAAACCAAAAGCAACTTGTGACATTTGATGCCAAAAGTGTCCAACTCTTGCAGGATTCACAAATTTGTGGCCGAGCCGCAAACTGGCCAAAGAGGTGAGCGAATTCAGCTTCTGCTCCTGTTCGGCCAGTGGCAATGCATCCAAACTCACCTTTCTTGGTTGCGGTTGACCCCCTGCAAAAAGTGTTTCACTTTTTGGGGGTTTAGTGGAAGACCTTTATTTCCCCCAAAAAGTTAAAGTCTGAAGATCCAACCCAATAGCATTCAAGTTTTGCGTTTGGATGGCAACCAAACCTCACTGGAGCTGAGTGCAGGGACCAGTGGAATGATGCCGTGTGCCTTGCTCAACTTGGGTCCCTCGACAACTGTCCCGCTTGAATGAGGCAAGCTGCGATGCTGGCCCTGCTCTGCTGGAACATGTCGTACTGCAAGCTCACCTGCATGGCTCTTCACACGCGGCGAGCTGTCTGCAGCTGCAGCTGGGGTTTTTTACTAGAGCCCGACACTGCCAGCGATGCGGCCGCATAGTTGTGAACCCGTGTGTCCCTTGTCACGACGATATTAAAAACGCCCTTGCAGATTGGAGAAGCTTGTCTGAGGCCTGCCAGCCTCTGCAACTTTGCAGCAAAATCTGGTTATTGAGGTTCTAAACTACTACAATTATATATTACGTGCAATTAATCATTGCTGTTAGGTCTTCTGGGTTCAGTTTCAGGCTCCATCTACTTCTGCTGCCAAGCGAAACAGAGAAGTGGGGCCGAAATCTATACAATGTATGCTTCTGCGGGAGCGTCGTTTTGCTTTTCCATCACTGCCACACGAGCCCAATGATTAGTGTATCTGGGAGAGTCCGTACTCTCCCAGAAGGACTCAAGGAGTTCCTTGGAATGCAACTTGCTGCAACTAACTTCGGCAACTTCTCTTCCTTCAGCTGCACTTTGCCAAAATGACGGTAAGCCTACTTGCTGGTTCTCATCAGGGAAAGGGAATGATCCCGATAAACCCTCCATGGTTTCCTTTCAGGAAACGCAACCCCTTCTGGCCAGCAAGCCTGGACATTTATCTCTAGGAACATCTATGGCTGTGGCTCAAAAAACCGGTACCAAAATGGAACCCTCGTAAGTGGAAAAATGGACCAAAACCTGCGTAACCCCTCCTGTTTATTCTTGAGCCACACCCATCTATCTTCCACAAACGAAGCGGTGCTTTGGGCCCGAAGCGGTGGTTTGGTGGTCCGGTGGTGTCCCGCCGGTAGTCCAAATCCGAACCGCCAGGCTCCAGAGGAACTGACGGACACTGGGGACCGATTCCTTACTCCTAGGTTCATTCCCCAAACTTTCAGGGAATTTGGTCCCCAAAACCTTTGGGTGAGCACCAAGCCTGGACATACCTTCCATTTGCTTTTTAAAGCCCCCTGCAAAAAAAACTACCAAAATATGTTCAGTGATAGATTCCCTCTAAAATACAACATACTCCTTAAGCAAACAGAAGTTTGAGCTGGTCCCGAACCCCCACGAGTCCCACGAGAAATCAGTCACCTGATCTCTGGAACAACAAAACAACATTTGCCCGTCTCCCTGCTGCCGAGGTGGCCATGCGGTCATCCCCAGAAGGGCTCCAGACGTGGCGGGGATGCGGCAAGTCATAACCCTCACCGCCGAAGCTGCCACTCCGGCACCTCGCCCGGTAGAGTGGAGTTTTCCGTTTTCGGCGCATCATCCTTGGGGGGGAGATCATTGGATCATGATTGGGGAGGGATCATGGGGGGGGGATCATTGGGCATCATTGGGGGGGGTTTCAGATCGGCCAAAAAAGTTGCCAAAAATAGGGAAACACCAAAATGGGACCTGGCAAGTGGATCCAAGGAGTAAACCCTGCGGTCCATATCCTGGTGGTTTAATTTTGACCCATACCCAGATCTGCGAAAAGTTGCGGTATTTGAGGGTGAAGTACGGTAACCCAACCAAACCAACTAGAAAGCTAAGCTTCTATTGGATGGCTGGAAGCCACCAAGATTGGAGGTGAGCATCACTGCTTTTCCATTTTGAGAGCACGCACTTTTCGGGGTTCACGTGGACAACTCCGAATTGGTGCTTTGGGTTTGTTTGCGTTGGGTTTGAACCCCTGGTTGTTGTGGAGGGTAGATGAGAAACCACCCCTTACCCATCCCTTACCACGGGCTCCAAACCACGAATTGGAAGGAAGCTGACCTAGGCTAGGGAGCCAACCCAAAAACGCCCGGCGGATACCAAAGGCCCAATCTTGTCAGCCCCCGGTGTGCAAATGCTCAGTCCAATCCGAGCAATAGCTGGTTAAACCCGGATCCTGGCAGACAGGCTTTAAGTTCGGCTTGTGCCTTCGAAATTTAAGGGTAATTTGCTCGTGCTTCCAAGGCGCAGGTCTGACCTCAAACGCAGGCACGGTTGCATGACTGACCAGCAAGTTGACAAGAACTGCACTCGCATCATTGACTGCGCAGAAGGAACCCGGACAACTTATTGTTCCTCCACTCAAATCTGGAAACAAGTCTGTCAAATCAACCAGAAAGCCCATATCAAGCTCCAGCAATGCTGGCCTGTGGGTTTGATTTGTTTTTTTGTAGTATGAACGCCTGGGATGACTGAGGAGCGCGCCACAAGTTGTTGGAGGTGTAGTAGTCCTCAGACAGGTGCATTCCACAAGCATACCTGGTAAGCCATGCCTCCTTGAAAGACCAACAAAGCCAACTTCCACAAAACAGGCCTATAGCATATACTGCTCTTTCCAAGCTTCGGTGTAGTAATGCCCGCTGACCTTGGCAACGCAAGCTCAAATCTACAAATGCTATCAGCGCTCCACTCATGCAGCATGGTTGCTTGCTCTCGCCATACTATGTTTTTGTTTCGTACATAAGGGACCCCAAAGATGGTTGTCTTGAGCAACAGTGAGTGCTGGCGTGCCTTGATGTTCTGCCGGTTCCAGGAATGGCGATTGCTCTTGAAGGTGACGCCGTAGCCTGTCACAAAGCGGTGGCTTCAATGTTCCGCCCATCTATTCATACACCGCAACGTCTCTCCAGTTGCCATTGGACAGTGCCGGGAAAACTGCCAGCTGCAAGCCAAGGGGCTCAAGGACGCTTCGAGCTTCGAGGAGCTCCAGAAGACTTGGAGTTGAGTGCCGGAGAGGCTGTACTTGTACTGGGCCGGCGGCGGAGCTTAAACACGCGAGCCCTTGTCAGTGTGTCGTGTCGTGTTTGTGTTGAGTTGTTCTCTCGAGTTGCGTTGCCGTGAGGTGAGGTCAGGCGAGGTGCGGTGCGTGGGGGCGGTGCGTGCCCATATGGTTGTTTTGTAGGTTCCCGGAAAGCATAGCAAGGCTCTTACAAGAGGCTTCCGGTGTCACTGACAATTCCCTTAATTGAGGGCGATGTTCTGCGACTCTTTCTTTCTCTCTCCCTCTCGCACTCACGCGCTCACGCACACACCCACTCGCTGAATTGTGCAACCAAAAATGACATGGCCGCACCAAGCCAAGTTTACAAAACCGAGGGCCATCTCGCAGAGACAGGCGACACTTGGCAATCCGGATCAAACACTCCGGCATCTGCCCACCTAACATGTTGAACCGTCACCTTTGGACACTTGCAGACACCACCAGCTTGCATGAAGCCATTGGCTTTGGTCCCTGTGAGCCCCTGGCTTTGGTCCGCCGCCGGTGGCTGTGAGCCTTGGACAGTCACCAGCTGAGCTGCTGAGTTGAATTGGGGGCATGCAGAATAAACCAGCCACACCCCGAGCGTGTCATTTCATAGCAGCAAGAAAGCACATATCCTCAGAAATCAAAATTCCCATATTCAAATCAGAGCTTCTGTGAGAATCTATGAACTGTGGCGCGTTGCTTTGTTGTATGCAAAGGCTCACCCATCGCGATCAAACAACTGCCGCCCAAAAAAACAACCTCCAACTTGCTCCAAAGCAACTGTCCAGGCGTTCTGGATGTTCTGGCCATTCCACTTCACGATCCATTGAGGGTTGTTTCCCACACCTCAGGGCAATCTTGGTGGTGCTCCGCAGGGAATGTGGGAATGAACCCAAGCGGCCCCTTAAAGAAAACCACCGGACCAGTTGGATGGTTTATAAGGGTCATTCCATGTCATTCCCTACATCTCTCACACCAGCAAGCACTAGCTCCCCCGATTTTGTGCGCAAGCCTGTCCCTGGCCGGCCGTCTTTTGCTGAGTTTACCGGCTCGATTGGCGCCGCCTCACATGAGGCCTTTCCAAGTTCGGCACGTGCTGTGGGGGTTGTGTGAGGTTTTGGGGCTGTCCGGGCTGTCTGGCGTTGGTGAGGCTCGGACTTGGCTTGGGCTTGGTAAGTTAAGGGCTGATTCTGGTTGAGTGAGCTTAGGCAAGGCCTCAAACCGACCCAACAACAACCTATATCAAGCTCCCCCACCGCCATCGCACGAAACCTAATTTGAATCAGCCCTCAATCCATCCCAACCTCCATTAACATGCCCAAGTGGAGCTCTCCAACTGCCAGCCTTCTCCCTCGCAAAGCCGGAAACTAACATTAAATCATGCCCCAGACCAGCCCCACCACCTCCTGCATGCCAATTCCGAGCCTGTCTGCTGTCCAGCTGCCCTGCTGCAACCAACCAACCAACGAACCAACGAACCAACCAGCCAGCCAGCCAGCCAGCCAGCCAGCCAGCCAGCCAGCCACCCAGCCACCCAGCCAGCCAGCCAGCCAGCCAGACAGCCAGCTATGCGAGCCCAGCCAGCCACCCGACCAACCACCCAACCCACCCACCCCAGCCAACACAAACCCAGCCCAAACCCAGCCCAAACCCAGCCCAACTGAATATCCGTATCAAAGGAACAACTTGCTCGGAGGGAACATTCGTTTTGGTCGAATGGGTTTCTTCTGAACCGGCCATCCAAATCCCGATGCCAGGGTCACAACTTCAGCTCTAGTCCTGTGGCCTTGTCGTCAACCTTCAACCTTTTTCCATCAGCCTCTTGTTGTCTACCTTGGGGATCCTCATCTGAGCTGTGCATACTGGAAGCCCGCAGTGCCCGGGCTGGACACAAAATGGTTTCTGCAGGGGTGGTCGGTGGTCCTTTTGCCACCTGTTGGGAGACAAGTTTGGAGTGCCAGCGAGAAAAAAAGAAGATTTAGGGGTTGATTCCCCATTTCAACCATCCTTCTTTCCAAAAACCCACGGTTTTCCATGGGTTCCAAATCAACTTGTTTAACATACTACTCAAAAGACTTCTGCTTACTTAACTGATCATAACCAATTCCCATAGGTAGACACCTCGCAGCTGGGCAGTCCTCAGATCCCCCGCTAAAAGTGACTAACTTTTACTTGATGAACTGGAAACCCAACCACCAAACCAACTAAAAAGCTCTACAACGCTAAGAGACCGGATGGCTGGGAACTGATCATAGCCAATTCGCATAGG